CACACACACACACACACACACACACACACACACACACACACACACACATGCCTCCTGCCATTTACGAAGGTCAACAGTTTGTGGCGGCCGGCCTCCTCTCCAGACTCACAGACGGAGCTTTTGTCCATTTCTGGGCCGTGTTTGCGTGCACTGCAGACGTATGCGAGCATATTTCTCTCTCGTGGCTCTGACTAATGTGTAGCAGATGATTTAAGGCCAGATTCACAAAACGTCTGACTGAAGGAGTTATGATGATGAATGTAACGCAAATGTTTGGATGAAGAAATGTTTTTTTTGTTTGTTTTTTTAATCTCGACACAGCAGCTTGACAATTAATTCTAATAAAATCCATAAAACCTTTGTGTAATTAATAAACAAATAAGTATCGCTTGTGTTGATGCTTCTATTATCTGTAGTTGTATTAGTTCCCCCCTCGGGGATCATTAAACTTTCATCGTACCCTCAGAGGGTCCTTCAGATACTCTTCTGTGTTCTGAAGTAGCATCTCGTCCCTCTCTGCGGTTAGATTACACCGTGCTGCGAGGTATGAGGACCTCGGGGAACGTGGAGTACCGCTGCTGGCCGTCCTACAGCCAACAGGGCTGCGTGCTGTCGGTCCACGGCGCCAGAGAGGCAGCATACATCTGCAACTCCCACTCCCAGTGCAGCAGCTTCACCCTGACTGGGCAGAAGACCTGGACGGGTTAGTAAAATCACCTGATCTGAAATATTAACATTTAAGTCTTTGATAGTGACTAAAATAGTCTGTAATCACAGCTGCAACATGACTGAGACGCCTAAGTACTGTATTTTTTGCCCTATAAGTCATGTTTTTTTTTGGTATAATTTGCATGCCCTGCGACTTTATACACTGAAGTGACGTATTTATGATTTCTTTCCCATTTTTTTAAACCAATTTTTGGCTGAGATATGACCGTTTTCATTCATTCTGACTGAAATTGTTGAACACTACCATTTTCAGCCACTAGATGGCACTCGAGTAGTATGGCATGCCGTTGTGTCATGTAATAGGTAAAATTGGCTATTAATGACACAATCAGCTTGCCTTAAGAAGCCACCTTCGTTCTACTCGCCTGGAGCAACCGTCAAATCGGCTTCATTTCGCTGCGCCGCCCCGGTGAAACGCAGCTAATTTGACCACTAAAGTGCATTTTATTAAGTAAAAGTTCAACTGAGACGCACCTTTGCTATAAAGTCGAGCAAACAAATAATTGTTGTTAGGCGGTTATCTTGTTAAATTTCGAAGAAACGCACAGCGAGTCCTCCCGCGCACGCTCCTACTTCCGTGTATCGGCTTTTTAAATGCAGCTGATTTGACGGTCAAAGTGCATTTATTAAGGAAAAGTTCAACTGAGACACACCTTTACTATAATTTCGAGCAAACAAATAATTGTTCTTAAATGTTAATCTTGTTAAATTCTTGTTAAAGTCCTCCTGTGCACGCTCCCGCGGCTGCCATTTGGCAGCAAATCAAGTTTTGGCACAACACCGGCCCATGTTTCCGGTTTATCAGCGGTGATGCACAATAGATGCGACGTATACGGCAAAGCAACTTATTCATGGATTTTTCCACTTTATTAGACATTTGGACTGATATAGGGCGGTGCGACATGTACGACGGAAAATACGGTAAACATCCTCGGTGTCTTGGAATCGTGTTTAACTTTTTAAAGTTAAGGCGTCGAGCAGGAACATGTTTAATTCTTGACGTGTTTAACTTGTTTTGGGGTTTTTTTTTGGTTCCTCCTCGCAGGTCGCCTTCTAGCCTCTTTCCGGAGCAGCTTCGATCAGTTGGTGCCTGATGGGGCGTCGGAGGTGTACGTGAAGAAAACCCAAGTTCTTGAAGCTCCTTCCCTAGCGTGAAGACAGAGTAGTCTCCGACAAGAGGTCGAAAGCAGACAAGACTGAAGTCTCTGTGAACACGCTGACCGCAGCTCGGCTTTCTAACCGAGGAGCAGATGTTTGAAGCGAGCACGTGAACGTGTTGTATTTATAAGGCCTCCGCTCAGCGGCTGTTTGATCTGCCTGCCAGCCCGCTGCCTCTGCCAGCTACTATTTAAAGGGATTTCCCTTTCAGGTACAATTAAGAAGGAGGAGAGCCTTGTGCTTCTACGTTTTTCCCTCCCGTAATTCGCCTTTATTTGCCATGTGCTTTCGCTGTGAGGCAGACCTTGCAGAGCGGCCGCCGCAGCTCGGCGTTTGAAACCCGAGGCCGAGAAGCGAAAACGAGCTCTTGAGCAAACACACTTTGATTAAACGCGCCGAGGTCGGGGGCTGTGTTTTCACGGTTGTCTGGCTTCGCTGCTTTGAGCTACGAGACGGGCAACAACCATGTAAGCACTGACACACCAACAGTGGGTAACGATGATTAAATCCATTCCAGAGCTGTTTGTTTTTGCGTCCGTTTCCTGCCGTGCGTTCGTGAATGTTTATACGATCGAGTGAAATGTAACGTTTCTGTTATGTGCACCTTGTAGGTGAATCTGTTTTATTTTTCAATGAAAAAAAATTTATTCACAACTTTTTTTTTCTACTTCACTTGCACCTAAAATAAATGCAAGGTTTTTTGACCTTTTTGCAGTTATTTGCGTTTTTATTGTTCGAGGTGGAACTGCAACAACAGCCTGATTATTTCTCATTAGTACCTTTTAGTGGGGGGAAGGGGGGGCATGCTGTGTGTTCAGTCCTTTATCTGCTCTCAGACCCCCACATCTGCAGTCTGCGGTCCATCCGCATGGCTCAAATTGCAAAACCTGTGGGGCTCTGCAGAGTTTGCACAATACCAGAGGAATGCATTCAAATGACCATCATGCTGAGGTCATTATGAGCCTTAATTAGTGCATGTGAAGCAGCTTAGTGAAGTCTTTCTGGTGATGGGGTTGTGGGGGTGTTGGTAAGACAAAGGCAGGCATCAGTGTGAGGTTTGGACACATGACCGTCTGTGCCTGTCTGAATTAACCTGAGATGAGAGCAAGATTAGCAGTAATATGTAGGGATGCACAATATTATCGGCCGATATACCAATACCATTGGTATATCGGCCGATATTGGCGATAAAGTTAAATATCGGACATCGGCCATTCCATTAAATAACTCACAGATATAAAAGATGCTGTTTTTGTACGACAACCCGAGTTACAAGCCGTCATTTCTGACATCATTGAGAAGCTAATAGCCGATAGCACTTGGGTGAGTTTTACCATAGACATGTGGACGTCGTGTTAGCCTCGTTAGCATGATCAGTCTTACGGCACAATGGATAGACAAAAACTTTGAATTTAAAAAGTCTGTCCTTCATGCACAAGAGAGCAGAGGATCCCACACTGCAGCTATAGGAACCTGGAACAAGCCTCCACAAGTGAGACAGCATCACAGGTGACTAATGCTAATAAATAACATTTAACACTTATTATTTAATATAAGTTAAAGTGCTATGCATATCATATGGCTGTTACTGAATATATGTCACCAGCTGTTGCACAATTTTTGTTGCAAATAAGTCTAAATAAGAGGAATATGTTCTGACAAAGGAAAGTATATAAAATATCGGTTATCGGCCAAATAAGTTTTAACATTTTGGATATCGGCAAAAATCTAATATGGTGCATATCTGGTAAGATGTGGACACAAGCTTCTGATTAAAAATCAACAACGATGAAAATTTCCAAGAACTTCTCGTAAGTGCAGAAAAAAAGAAACACACATTTCCCCGTCACACACAGTCCTGCATTTACTCCTCACAAGCAAAACAATAGATGCCCAACTCCATTTATCTTGGTGGTGAATTTTGTTTTATTTATTTTTTTACCACAGCCATTGCACTTTCTGACATGAAAGGGCACGTTTCTGTCTAAAAATGACTTTTATAGCTGTGCAGCAGGGAGGCCTCAGGGCCCTTTCTGCTTGATGCTGGCCCCTTGTTGTCTAGACAAAGCTGACTGATTAGAGTCGTGATTTTACTGATAACGAGTCCGCGATAATGCTATAATAATTCAATCCCTGCCAAAAACAAGTTGGATGTTCATAATCCTTAAATAAATACCCACTGGAGGCTGATTCATACTAAAATATAGAGAAATTTTACCATAGTTTCTCAATATACAGTGATTTTAAGATATTGGAACATGAATAACTTCATAAACTACACAAATAATTGGTATTTATTAGTACTTTTCAAGCTGAATAACGTGAATGAATTTGAAATGTAAAGGTGGCTCAGATTTGCTGTAGAGATAAGCTTGACATGAGTTTATGGGAGAAATGTTCTGGCCTCTGACTGGGTTTATCTTGGCCGTCTTTTTGACAGAACTAATGAGTGTTTTGGCTTTTGCACGGAGCTCGCATGTGTTTATTTAACGCTCAGATATTTTGGAGTATAATTAATAAATGCAGAGCAGCTGAAGCGTTGCAAGTTTTCTAAACCAGAAGAATGTCACAGACTTCATCTGAACTTTGTGTTTGCTTAAAGTAGTTGATGATAAATACCGATTAATAACTTCTACACTCACATTTAATGTCTGGATCTTGTCCTGAACAGTTTAGAACGTGGACATGTTTATATACGTTGCATCAACTCTTCATTTAAAAAAAAAAAAGAAAAAGGAATTTGTAAATATTTATAATCTTAGAAGACAAATCGCTGTAGTGAAATGTTTGTATGTTCCCAGCTTCTGTGTGTTGGCCTCCATTTTTGTTTTAAAATGTGCTAAATTATTATTTTGCTAACACATACAGAATGCGGTTGGCATTGTCTTGCCTAAATTAAGCAATACCTTCCCTGAAATTGTGACATGTTTCTATGAAATCAGTTATTTTAAGAGTTAGGTGATGTTCTTATTTGTAACGGAGTTTCAGCTCTTATGCTGCAGTTTAAAGTGTCCTTATTTTCAGAGTTACAACTCTTTTACTTTTGGAGTAAAAATACATTTTTTTTACTTCTTTGGGTTTTTTTTAACATCTTTTTAAGTCTGTTGTCAAACTTTCTCCGAAAAGGTAAAAAATACTTGTAAAATAAGGTTTAATGCGATTTTTTAAATTAATTATTTAATATTTTGTCCTAGTGTAGAAGGTCAAGGTTTTTTATTTGTCATTTGCACCACGTGGTGCATGTGGTGGAACGAAACTGTGTACACAGGGTCCCAGTTACATCCAACAAAAGTATAAAATATAAAAGAAAAACGGTACTAAGATCTAAGATATGAACTAAGAAATACGCTAAACTAAGAATACATTAAAAGTGCAGAAATAGTGCGCCAAACAGCAGCATCATGAACATGAGTCTGTGTGAGCAGGAGGACGTGCGAACACAGCAGCATGAAATAAATCAGCAGCATGAGATCAGCAGCACATAACAATCAAGTGGGATTATAGTGATTTTTTTTTAATTCACAGTGATTTTCCTGGTTAGAGATTCATGAGACAAGTTATAAGCTGTTTCTCAGTGGGTTTACACTTGATGCTCAACCTCCTGCAGATGTTTCAGCTGCACATCCATCACATGACAATACGTCTTTTCATAGCCGAGTCGCCTGGGGTTGGTTCATCAGCACCCTGCTCTGTTTGGTCCTAACATGTTTATTTTTGTATTCTTTGTTAAATCTGAAGGTATCACTGTCTTCTTCTTCTAACATAAACTATGAAGGTATAACGGTTGAGCTGCAATGTTTTTTTTTGTGTCTTTGTTCTGTTTGGGGATGTCTGCCATGTTTGCAGAGTGATGAAAGACGTGAAACACAGCAGTCGTGTCCTTAATGTTCATGTGTGGCACTCTGTTTCTACGTGTGTAATTGACAAGCTGTTTTTTTTTTTTTTGGAAAGGCCCAGGGAGTGAACGAGGGAGGAGTGATTGTTTTTTTTTACTCAGCTCCGGCTCCATACCCCTCCGTTTCTGTTTTTTTTAAGTTTCTAGTTTCACTCGACTTGTTTCCGTCAGGTTTTATTCATGACCTCCATCTGGAAATAATATCAGTTCATGAAAACAAGCCATCAGTAATTTTAGGGAAGAGTTGTGTGTGTGTGTGTGTGTGTGTGCACTGAAAGCTGCCTCTGTGGGGATCAGGCTCCAAAAATGTGTTGGCGCACTTGAAACGACATGTATGACTTAAAAACCAAAGCCTCCATCATCCTCTCCTAAAATCCTGGTGAAATGCATTTTGTGGTGTGAATAAAAGCCTTTGATTCGAATGCAAAGTTAGTCATCAAACGCTGGAAACTTCAGCTGCTGGGAGAAATTACGTGTCAGGCAGGTCTTTGGCAAACCATTTGACCTTGGCTCAGACTAAAAATATGCATTAACTCAGTGAAAGCCTGCATAGTTCAGCAGGAAAGAAGATCTGGCTTGTGTTAGAGCTGCTCACAGGAGCGTACATACGCAGCCTGTGATGGGGGAGATAGAGCAGATATTCACTGAAACACCTCTGTATGGAAAAACTTTCCATGTCTGCCTCCAGGGCTGCGAGACACAGGAGACAGGCCGGTCACACCTGAGAGCCTCTGAAGAGCAGCCAGCCATTTAGCCGCCCTGTCCCAAGCACAGAGGCGTCTCACAGGCCTCCAACTGCTGAAGCGAGTATCTGTGTGTCCGCCTGGAGCCGATTAGATCTTTTAGAGCCATAATGGCTTCAGCAGCCTCCAGAAAGAGAGAGCAAGCGGGGTGTGTGTGAGGAGAGGTTTCTTTTCTGGCTCGTCTGTGTGAGGCGGCTCGGCTGGATCGTGTTTTTAAAAGCCTTCCAGTTAACCCCAGTCAAAAGGTTTACACATGCCACTAAAGCCACAATGGCATCTCGTAGGTGTAATGGCTCCGTGTCGTATCCAGTGACAACTCCCTGAGCTGTTTCCAAGTAGCTGCCGCTCCTTTTTTTTTTTTTTACGTTATTCTTAAGGAAAATTATGAAAAGGGTCATTTATTTGCTGTTTCCTAATGTGTGCTTGAGTAAGAAAAAAAGTCTGGAGGTATTTCAACCCCCCCTTTTTTGGTTATGAGATCCCCACATGTTCGTTTTGCCCTTCACATTCCCCCACTGAACACACACCACTACATCACAGCAGCAGTCTGGGTCATTTTTCTTTTGAAGCCCACCCCTTTAGCCCCCGCTCTTCCTCACCAGTCCATCCATCATACAGAGACGCGCCC